ACTACACATTCGTGAAGCCTTCGGAACGAAATGTTGCGCAAATGTCTCTCTGTCTTTTCATCGGACCGCAAATGAACGGTCTGAATTCTCTGAACGAATTTTAATTAATTGTGATATTGAGAAGTTTTAGTAGAATTTTTCGACTCCTTGCGGTTTTGGTTAAAAGTGAACAACAGTAACGCACATTTAACGTGAAGACCTACGCACGCGCGTTTGTGCGTGCATCTCGAGCGTAACTCGGTGAATATTTATCGGGGGGATTACCTCGGACGTAAGTTGTCCGACACACTTGTTCTGTAAGATACTCAAGACTTACAGTGTGTTCTGTGTACGTTTCCTAACGTGTCGCATGGTGGGCCCTGTACATTGTCTCTGAAGGTCGGAGGAGGGGGCTCATATGGAGGGATTACACGGAGTTTATAACATTCTTTGCAGTCACTGTCGTTGTTTGGTAGCGGTTTTCAGTTGCCGACGTTCCCCTTCCTCAACTACCAGCTTCTAACAGCAACAGCTCACAGCTGAACCCCAGCGGTTATCTAACTAAGTAACTAACTAACTAACCAATCAGCAACTGCGCATCTCCTAACTTGTCCTGCTTACAACACCGTCCCTCTGTTGCAGTGCAATTGTTGCGTTCGTGTTTGTTGGGGTGCCCACGTGATCGCTACTCAACCATTGTCTAGCAACGGCCGTTGTTTGCAGAGCAATTACTTAGCAAAGGCTGTTCTATGGTAGCTAATTTTACGGTCGTTGCCCAACAGCCGGTCTGCATGCCACAATATATTTGTTCTGACGTCATTATAACGTAACTGATAAATTTATTTAGAGATTGAGTACAGGATTTTTATACATTTCGAAGTGAGAGCTGGAAACTGGGGTAGACACCGTGCTTTTAGTTTTGGAAAGCCATTTCCGTCCCCGTTTCGAGTAAAGGAAGCATGTGAATGTCTTTGCGTGGACAGTGTACGCAAGCATTAGTCATTAGTGGCCCATATTTCGTGTCTCTTTATGTTATGATAGGTGAGTTGTCGTACCGCAGTTGCTTATTCATTTAGAGCGGTAAGGATATGTGGCTCTTCCATCGCGCAGTTCATGTGGACTGACGCAAGAGGGCACCAGAAACGAGGCAGCAGTGGCAACTGCTACCCTGCGAAGACGTGAAGAGCAAGAAACTAAATCTGTTGCTCTTCTTAGAAGTTATTCCTTGACCGCAGAATGCACGAAGCTGATGTTATAGTAGGTTTCTGTTTTCTGTGATGACGGGTTGCGGGCAGGACGGCCGGGGAATCAAGGTTCTATTTCCATCAGGTGTATGAGATTTTTCTTTTCTCCACAGCGCCCAGACCGTCTCTGGGACTCACACAGGCTTTTATTCAATTCGTACCTCGAGGTTTCCCTGGTGGTAAGGGAGCCGGGGCGTGAAGCTATCCATTCACCTGCAACTAGTGCCCAAATTAAGAATGTGTCTAGCTATACCTCCACTCTGTCACACGCCTTCATGGTGTACTGATTAATTAATGAATTAACCACGCACACCGATGTTCACTCTGATAATTGGAGACTTCAATGCATGGATAGAGAAGGACCCTGATTGAGGACGCGAAGGATTGGCAGTACAGGCCACTGTGAACTTTCTCCTGTTTGTGGAGGTATAGCTCCTCGCATTCTTAACCTTTGATACTACATGGAGGTGAGTGGTTAGCATCACGTCCCTGCCGCTACTAACCCTCTTCATATAGCCCCGGCACGGACCGCACAGGAAACTTGTCTTCCATTATTACGAGTTATCTTGAAATCGGAATTGGGATGTGTTGGAGTGGACTGGGGACCGGTGGCGGGCTCATGTGAACACGGCCGTGAAAATGCAGACCGCAGTACTGTTAGTGTATCTGTTCACTTTGTGTTCTGTGTTTTCCTCAGGCTGGCACTTCATCAGAATAGATTTCGTTTTGTTCATAGCGTTTGGCGTTGTGGTGAATATTCACCAAAAAATTGCTTACTTCTGAGCTGTTCGTTAACTGTCTGAACAGTGTAAATTACTGGCATAATGCCCCGTTGAAAATTATTCGGAAATTTTCTTCACGTGTTGCATAAACTGTAGGCGTATTATTATTTGTTTTTTGCACATGCAACATCAAGTTTCAAAGCGGAGTTGGCAGGTCTAGACTTGTATTCCAGAGGTGCTTCCTTCGAATGTCGGCTAGGACACGCTATCCTGACTGCGGTGTTTCGTGGTTGTCTTCAGATCCTTGAAGGAAATGCCGGTATAATGCCTCGATTACTTCACGTCCGTTTCCTTCGAAACATTTTCAATTCATCTTTCACCAGTCATTCTACCTTTCAACGCTAGGTACTTACAGGGTCGTTAAATAGATCGCGCGCGCACACCAAGTTACAAAGGCGAGATCGAAGTGACAGGAGTAAATGCAGCTTTAGAATCTCAGGTTATCCCGTCATCTGAGTGTGACCTTTGTAGCGCATGCGCAAGTTTAGTCTCTTGCGGAAGTCCCCCCCTTACGCAGTGTCTCCTGCCTCCTAACACAGTTTAGGTAGATATCGTACCCACGCACTAGAACAACAACCGTGCTATATTTGTACGTTTTCCTAGAGGTCCGCGTGCTGCAAGCTGCCCGTATGTATGCGTTTAGGCTAGAGTTGTGTCTGCACGCATGTCGCTGAGTGATGTTTCCTGTTTTACGAAGTACCGCATGAAGATCATTATCGGCTATAGAAACAAAAGAGTAACGAGACGAGTTTTTGAACATTGAACTCGCCCGCCTTCCGCTCTTGTAACGTCAACTCGCTGGATGTCGATCGTGTGACGTAATCGCCATCTGGCTAGACAGATCCGGTTGCAGTACGTTGCGACATCTGTCGGGAATTCGGCACACTATTGTGTCGTACGTCAGGCAACAATGAACTCTGCTGCACAGAAAACGCGCTCCGTCTCCGCTACAAAAATCAACCGGCTAACCTTTCAAAGCCCAGTTGGTCGCTATTTGTATCACCCGCTTTAACATACTAAAACCCTACATTCTGCCCACAGAGAGTATCTGTGTGTTCCGTATGGTTCTCACAATAAACAATGGTAGTTTCCGTAAACAGCGGTAACCGGTTGCGCTTTGTAATGGTGACGTAATATTTCCTGAGAGGTACGGACTGAATTATTATATATATTATGTAGAACAAATTAAATCTTTAAAGGGTTAATGCTGTTTATTGTGGAAATCATACGGAACTTATAAAGTACCTGTGTAGACAGAAGTTTTTAGTGCTATAGCATGTGGTCCACATAGTTACCACTGTGTTTTATGTAAATGGTAGAAGATTAATCGAGAATCGAGCAAAATCTCTAGTCACTGCATTCAGGCGTTGGTGTGACTCCAGCCAAGGATGATGACCCCCAGAGAGATCTGCTCGCACCGATGTTTTTGATTCTGTGTCACGGGGCTCGGGGTCGGGTCACTTTCACAGCAAATATGTTGGCAGTACTGGGGCCAAGGGTTCCTCTCCACTTTCGCCTCCACAGACTCCTCAGAAAAGTATTTGATGCAAGTACAGTGTCATGAATGTGTTTTGTGTCATTCTGCACTGTGTTGCTGCGCGAGTTGATATATCGACTGTGTGTCAATCAATATATATTTCGGTACTAGGAAGCTGTTGCAATTAAAGTCAAGGTATACGCAGTGTACTGTCATATACTCCTTGTAGGGTGCGTCGTAATTAGACAGTAACGTATCCGACACGTCATCATTGGAAAGTGGCTAAATTCTATTCTCACACTACAGTGGAACCACTTATACACGTTCGCTTGCGTCTCAAGTGCAACTTTATTTACAACCACTCCGTTACATAAAAAAAACTGAAAATTAACCATTAGAAATTGTTACATGTTGGCCATCCTCGGCCATCGTCTGACAATTGTCTAACTTGTCAAATTGCTACACTGTATTTTCAGTGTAATTAAGATTAATTATGTCTTAAGTTAAAATATTTAAAAAATTTTCATCTTTTTGTCAGCCATTTTTTCAGTTGACCTAATCCTTCCAGGTGAACTATGGCCCTGGGGTCGACTCAGCCTCTAACAGAAATGAGTACCGGGAATTAATTAAATAATTTTCCTGGGGGTAAAGGGCGGTCGGTGCGTAGGGTTGACAGCCTTATCGCCATCTGTGAGCCGATTATCTAGAAAATGTGGGAGCCTCGACGTCTCACAACCATATGGGCCTGCACGGCCTGTTAGAGAGATAGCTTTACTTTACTTACTCATTAAAAACATTTGTTGGAGATCGTCACTCGTTGGGTTTTCATGGCGCCAGTATTTCGCGTCTTATTTGTGTAGCTCTTACGGATGTCGATATGGTACTATTATCTTTTATCTGCCGGAGATATCTTTGAACACGCAGGGACTTTTCTTTCGTCATGTTGGCAGCTTAAGGCATGAAGAATTGTTGGAGAGCTGTAGCACTTATGACGAGAGTTCATACCGCTGCAACTCACCCTCCGAGCTCACGGTCACCCCTGTGTGATTGGCAGTCCTCCCTCGTCCTCTGGAGGTCCGGGGTTCAAATGTGGACCCGCAGAACGGCTGTTCTGATTGAGGCTTCTCCTCGTATTTGTGAATCCTTGCAGGCACATTCTGCGATAGTACTGCTTCCTTGCAAATCCTAGCTACTGCCAGCGGCGTGGTATGTGGTTCGCTTCGCTCTGTTAGGGCAGCGCGAAGAAGTTAGGACTGGCTGGAGGGAACACAACAAGTGAGGGGAAAAGGGACAATCTTGAAGACCTAGAAGGAGTTCAAAGTATAATATTAAAATAGATGTCAGTACCAGTTTACACGTTTTCTTCTCAGGCGCGTGAATAAGCCTAGGACTTGCTCCCATGTGCCAAGGCTTCTCAGGCGCCCGGGAAGGGGTGTGGGGGTCTGAACTACACTGAACCGTGCCACTGCTGGTTCTGTCCGTGCGTTAGTTCCACTGAGGCGTCTCTCTGTGTTGCAGATGAAGCCGGTCGCTTGATGGAGGTGACGAGGGACTTCGTGACCGTGGTGGCAGTCGAGGGTGCGAGTGTGGACGAGTTCGTGACGGTGCTGAATGTAGGGTGCGGGGCTCCCGATGGGGCAGAGGACGTGCTGGTCTACCGGCTGCCGGGCGAGCGCCTGGGCTTTGGACTCAAGTTCGAGGGTGGTACTAGCACCAGCGAGAAGGTGCGCCGTCTTTTCATCCAGTCTTGCGCCCCCGACAGCCCCGCGTCAAGGGCGCACTGCACCTGGGGCTCGTTGCAGGAAGGCGACGAGGTGCTGGAAATCGACTCCGTGCCTGTCACGGCCATGACGCGTTTGGATTGCGTGCGCAGCCTCAAGGAGTCTCACGTGGTAATCAAGCTGCTGGTGCGCCACCCTGCCCCACCACCCATCCCGCCCCGCCGTAAGGCGCAGAGTGCCGCGGTTCTGGGCCCTCCTACTGCCTTCGCTGACGTACCGCCTGAACCTGAGGTGTACCTGGATCTTCTGGCACAGGAAGAACTGAACTGCCTGACCGACACAGGCAGCGATGACACAGGCAGCAGCATTTCTACGGTGCTCGGCCCCTTCGACCAGCTGGAAGAAGAGACGTTGCAGCCGCCGCTCAGCTTTCAGGACGCACCGCTCAGTTACGGCGACGAGAAGGTGCTTCCCCCTAAACCTGCCCCCCGTAAGGACGTCCAGGCCAGGTTCAGGTCTGGAAAGAAGCGTCCTCCTCCTCCACCACCTCCAAGGAATGACCGGCCGCAGTGCCCTCTGAATGTGCAGACCATAGCTGTAGTCGATATGGACAGAGGAGACCTGCCCCGCCTTGTGGACGTTGTCCCCAAAGCGGTCCTGGAAACAGAGGAGATGCAGAGCGGTGCATCGCTAGTGGAGGAGTTTGCAGGGGCGGGTGGGGAGCCGACAAGTTCTGCTGAGGGGGAGAACAGATCTCAAGAGAATGAGAGTGCACAGGCACTTGCAGGGAATGAGGAAGAGACTGTACCCACCAGGTCAGAGAATGCAGACCGTACAGTCGCAGTGACAGATGTGCGTGTTGAAGGCGATGGTAAGGTGGTAGAGGCGCAGGAAAACGGATTCTTAGGGAAGAAATACATGTCTGTAGGGTTGCAGAATGAAGATCCCATAATTGTAATGCTGGGCACTGCAGAAGGAAGGCCTGACAATACAGACAGTAAAGGTGGAAAGGTGACAGACATGTCTGCGGGAGTAGAGAATGAGGAAAACAAATCTGCAAGAATAGACAGTAATGGAAACAGGCCTGTGGATGCTTGGAGTAGCAAAAACCATTCTTTAAAAACAGGCAGCATGGATACCAGTCTTTTAATTACAAGGAATAAGGAAAACATTTCTGTAACAGGCACTAAAGGGAACAGGCCTGAAGGAATAGGCAGTCAAGACTGCACGCTCAGAGAAACAGGTGTGAAGGAAAACAGTAACTGTAGTAGTCCTGTGTTAAATGGAAGTGATGGGGAAGTGTCTGTACTGTCACACACGGAAGAGAATTGTTTGTCTGGAATCAGGGAAGAAGGAAAGAGGCCTGAGATGCCACATGCTGGGTTAACAGACACAAATGGGAATGTTGAACTGAGGCTTGTGGAGGAGATCAGGCATATGGAAACAACATTAAAGGAAAATGGGCACGTGAAAACAGATGAAACGGAATATATGCACGTGGAAGAAGGCCCAAAGGAGAATAGTAATGTGGAAACAGGGATGAAGATAAATATGATCATGGAAACAAGTGTGAAGGAAGAGATACACACAGTTGCTAGAAATGAAGATTGCAGTCCTGTAGGGACAGACAGTGGGGAGAGTGATGTGTTAACTGAAGGGTCTGCTCTTGCGGACAACCAGGGAAGTAGAGATCTGGTAAGCAGAGATGATGAAAGCAAGGCAGTGGAGACTGTAGGCGATGATAACAGTCCTGTGCTGCAAGACTCTTCAGAGAACAGCCCCTTGGAGACTCTCAGGAAAGACGACATGCCTGTACTGTCAGACAGTAATGAAAGCAGTTCTTTGGTGATGCAAGATGTGGAAAACAATTCTGTGGTGATTGATACCGTAGATAAAAAATCAGTAGGGGCAGATATTGAAGAAGGCTTTTCTGTGGGTACTGTGAGTGTGGAGAACAATTCTGTTTTGTCCTGTGGTAGGGGAACCAATCTTGTTTTGACTGAGGACATTCCAGAAGCAACAAGTAAAGAACACAGCAATGTTATGATTAGAAATGAGGAAAGCATCGCATTGGTGACTGGCAATGCAGGAGTGGATGGAGTGGGAAACTTGGCAATCTCTCAAGAAGACAGGCCTGTTGTGTGCAACAGTTTCAGGACCGGGTCTGAAGACAGCAAAGAAAACATGAATGTGACAGGGAACTTGCCTGTGGAGAGAGTGACAGGAACTGCTGAAACAGAGAAATTGCCTGAAGGGTCGAGCCAGGAGGCAGGAGTCACCCCGAAGCCATGCCTAGAAGTGCCTGAAGATGCATTTGTGGTAGCTGTGCCCCAGAGGCAAGACCTACCTTCTGACTCAGATGAAGAGGACTTCCTGATGAATCTGCCAGAGCTGGAACTGTTGGAGCAGGGAGGCACAGTGTTCCAGCCCGCCACTGGAGCGCTGCTGACAGCCTCTGATGCTTTCTTCCCGTTTCGGTGCTGGGGACCAACCAGCCATCTGGCGACCATAGGAGAAGATGAAGAGGATGATGCGACCAATCAGGGGTGAGTTTAGCAGGACTTGAGGAATTGTATGCTGTAACAATTGCATTGCTTATATTGAATCATATAAAATGATGGTTATGAACTGTAAGGTAAGAAAGGTATGGAAGATAATTGTGCTGGCCATTTAATGCAAGAACTTGATGAAACACAGTGCACACAATCTTATTTCGATTTGCTGTTAGTGTTAGTTCAGACAGTGACTCTCTGTACCACATCAGACAAAAGTGGAATGGTGTACCCCTGTAGACTGCACATGTTTTTAAAATTCTTAATGTCTAGATCTGGTCCACCATATTGGCTTTGGTGTTAATTTTTTAGAGAGACAAATTTATTATTGCAAACCTGATCACATCACACACACCATACTGTACAGAGTTACAACTTATTTTCTCGTGTGTTAAAAAATCCATCATCACCAAATTTCTGCATTTTATGTCATACATTTTGTATGATATGGCCCATTTTTAAAAAAATGATAAATAAGTTCAGTTCAAGTTCCATGTCCGGTTAGTGTTATACTGGACAGAAGTGGGGGAAAATTAAATTCACGTTACAACTTCTGATGTACACCCCTAATATGTAATTTAATCAAAATTTTATAAGGATTTCCTGAGATGAGACATGTGGGCACATGGACACACACTGCCTGTATGTGTTCACTCCATGCAAATGACATGTACAGAGTGTTTATTTGGAAGCTGTGAATTACTCAGCCAACCACAATATCCTGTGCCCTGTATGGATCCCAATGGTTGGTTACCGTGCTCATGAGGGCCCACCACTGGATCTTGACCTGAGCCATTTGAATTCTGTCAGCACCCTCACACACAATTTTCAGACTTATTGTAATGTTATCCTCCCATCTATGGTTAGGTCTCATAAGCGGTCTCTTCCCTTCAGGTTATCTTCTGACTAAAACTATTTATAATTGTTTTAATCTTGCAGTTTCTAGAATCACATAGAGAGATGAAAAATTCTTAACTGGATAATTCCAGGATGCTCTGAATTTAATAATTACATGTGTTAAATAATTGTCCATTTGTCAAATGATTTACATTGTCTCTTTACAAACAAACAAACGAAGTAACTAACTATATAGCCAGCTGATGAGCAAACAGTCAGACTAGCAACTTGGGTGAAGGTACTTCTTCAGAAGCTAGTAGTTGCTCAGCTGCAGGTACAGAAACAATGGAACTCAATGTTGCAGGGTGCCAGGTGTAGCAGTGATATCCGAGGTGGAGAGGGAGGAAGATGTAATGGGACATGTGGAAGAGGACATGAACCCAGCTCTGTCGGCAGAGAGTCGCCTTGACAACCTGCTGCTGAATGCTGGGGAATTGAAACCAGGACTGGAGGACACGGAGAAAATGCCGGTTACCAAGAATGAAGGTAGGGACCAGGGGCAGGCATTTTGAAATGCTCAGAAGGCCCAGAGCTTCATTACTGAGGCAGTTGCATCCCCAAGGCCCATCTTCATGCTATCCTTCTGTCTGCTGCTTGGTCTTCTCAGTGGCTACTCTCTAGATGGTGTCCCCATAAATATCTTGTCTTTCCCATCTGAGTTGCAAGTTCGTCCCGCAGCTCCCTACTGTGTTCGGTATCCTAACTACTGGGTGACTCAGAAGTTGTTCATTATGTAATATTCTAACTTCCTCACCTAATGCGTCCCTGCAGGAAACTTTGATAGCTCAGTCAGTATAGTGACTAGCCTACAGGTTGGACAGCCAGGGATTTCAGGTTTGATTCTTGTTGAAGGCAGAGGGTTTCTCTTCTCTCCAGTGTCTGGATCAACTCTCTGCCCAAACCAGTCTCATTTCCCTGGGGTTAAAGTGGCCGAGGCGTGAAGCAGGCCACTCACCTCCATCTATCACTGAGACTGAGAATGGTGGAGCTGTACTGTGTCCAGGTGCCCAATTCAAGCCGTGACACAGCTAAATCGCTACCGATTTCAAGTTCTTAAGTAGAAACCTGCTTAATTCAGTGCAGCAGCTTCTTCAGTTGGAACGGATTCGTTGAATTGTAAAAAAAGAAAACATTTCCAACTGTATTAACCTATGCAGTCGAGACAGCGTCACCAGTTGGTGTAGCGCTAGACTTACATCTGGCGGTTTTCGGTTCGAATCTCGGCTGGGACACAAGCCGTCTTGACTACGGTTTTTCGTCGTTTTCTGTAGTCTCTCCAAGCAAATGCCGGAATACCACCACCATTAGACCATGGCCGCCATTTTAAGAATTAGCATAGAATATGACAGTGCCGTACCCACAGAAGAGAGAGCGTGTGCAGATAAAGACACGCGGCCGTGTATGGGCAAAGTATTCGACGTGGAGAGGTCAGGTCAGGATAACCGGAACTGTGGCGTATGGTCGTGACGAGTGACAGCTGTTTGCTAATTCGGGATCGAGTATGCCATCTCCTGCCATCTGTTGGCAAAGCACTCAATTACGTGAATCACACAGTCTCGGCTCTTGTCTCTACGTCCCATCTGTGCACATCTGTTGTGGCTCACCAAGGGTAGCACAGGCCGAGGGTGGATGAGATGTCAACAGAGTGCTGGGGGAGAAAGTGACAGGAATTTGAAGAAAACTGCATAATGAGGAGCTTAATAAATTATACTCTCTATCAAACATTATGAGGGTGATCATGTCAAGGAAAATGAGATGATTTGGACGTGTAGCATGCCTGAGAAAGGTGCACAGAATTTAGCTATGAGTACCTGAAGGCAGGAGACCACTTGGAAGACCAAGAATTGATCGTACGGAAATCTGTCTAAGGGGAGTGAGGATGGTTTAAATTGAACTGGCCCAGGATGGGCTTCAGTGGTGGGCTTTTGTAAACACTATGATGAAGCTTGGGCAGGAGCGATCGTGCCCTGAAACAATGCCCTCTAATCGTATGCAGCAGGCCTCTGTTTCTTGGCAACTTGCCGCCATGTTGGTTCCTCATTCCAGCGCCTTCTGGAATTCAGTCTGGCCAACAAAACACGTAGGGACGAGTTGGCAGGAGATTCGCGGAATGTCGGCTGGACCATGTTCGTACGTTGCGAAGATGGATCACATAGTGTCCAGGGCACGCCACAAGATCCTGTTGGTTTGAAGGTAATTCCGGCGTAAGGAAAGTTGGGATGTTCTCGTGTTCCCGATGTTTGTCGCGTTTCTTTGTCCATTGCTTGACCCCATACGGACCGAAGGTCATGAGACTGGTGTTCAGGTATTGAATCCCGTGATAGTTCCATAAAGTAGGCCACGACAGCTTCCACTCACATCATTCCCACTTCATTAATCCTCTCATTTGACTCTGAGCTACTGGCAGCGTCGTTAAATAAACAATGAATGAGCATTTAGAGGCTCGGTCGTACCTCTTAGAAAATAGATCTGTCACAATGGCCGGACAGGTTGATGTAAAGGTAAGGCTCGAGACTTGCATCAAGGAGGTGGACGGTTCGAATCTCTGACCGGACGCCGACGTTTATGTAGTTTCGGTCACTCTCTCCCTCCGTGCAAATGCCGGGCTAGTTCTTCGATTAGGCCACGACGCTTCCTTCCGCGTCCTTTCTAGTTCACTGTTGGTCCGGGATCCTACCATTCGACGCTGTGTAGTCTCGACACTGGAAGCGTCGCACTCAGGGAGTTGGCCCACATTGGCCTGTTCCGGCCTCATTCGTCCAGTTGTCTCTTCAGAAGCCTTCCCCCTTTACCTTGATCTGTTTTCTTCGCATCTGTCGATGTCTCCAGTACCGTTCTGCGTTTTGGTAGTTTGCCCATTGTGGACCCCGTTTTTAGTTCTTACAGAAAAAAATTAAAAGGTATCCCTCTAACAGACCGTGGAGGCCCATAGGGTTGTGAGACGTCGAGGCTCCCACATTTTCTAGACAGTCGGCTCACAAATGGCGGTGAGGTTGTGAGCCTTACGCACCGGCCGGCCTTTACCCCCAAGAATGTTCATGATTCTCATTTCTGTCTGAGGCTGGTCAATTGAAAAACATCCAGTGACTTTACTGGGAATCAAATCCGCGACCTTCCCTCTTGTGGCATAGTGCACTACCGCGTGCCTTCCTTTTTACTATGCACCGTGCGAGTACGTTCCGGCCTTCATCTCATGCATCTGAGTGGAAGTCTGTTTTCTGCGGTTCATTTCGTGAGACTGTCCAATTGGAGAGGAACCCTGTCATGGCTCGGGATTTGCCCGGAGGGGCCGACGGAAGCCACACGATGCCTTCGTCAAGAGAGCCGTGACCAGGCTGAGGTTCCATTCGAGCTACTCCAACCCGCTTGCTAATTCTGTTGCTTTCACCCCCGCATAAACATGTCAGATGGGGTCTGATGCGTTTGCTGCCTTTCCGAGACACACTGATTCGGCCCACTGCGGTCATAATGAACACTAAGTCGGGTAGAATAAGTGGTTGTCACAGTCTTTAATCCCTCAAACTCTAGTGGTTATTATATGTACCACTTGCTATGACATCTTTGAAATCTGCATTCTGCCAATAGAGTGTGTCTGTGTGTCCGTATGGTTCTCACAATAAACAGCAGTAACCGGTTGGTCTCTGTAGCGGAGACGTAATGTTTCCTGTGAGGTACGGACTGAACTGTTATATACGAGTGTTGTGTAGAGGGTGACGAACAGTTTGGAGGTTATCGTTTCCTGTCTCCTACGGCAACTTCTTCGCCATGTCAGTAAAGCTTGTTATCTAAGCACATCATTGCAGGGGTTGGCATCTTTCGTATGCAACGGTTGGGGGGGGGGCATGTTTTCTGAGGTAAGCGGTTTGTCTGGTTGTCCCGTCCACCTGTGACGTGAAATCTGCTGCGGTCACCACGAGCTCGTTTAGATGAAATGTTTGTATGAAGAATTTGCATCATCCCATCTCGTTGAGAGGCATCAGCTGCCTCGTTCATTAGCACAGTCCGTTTGTCTGAGGTCTGCATCACAGGTCTCCATAACCCAGACCCACCAGTTTGTGCTGCTGTTTGTTATGAGAGTCTTACCGGGAACATAAGTACACCGTGTGAGCAGAATGCCACAACATGTGTTACCTATAGTGACCACTGTGTTTGAAAGGGTGAACATTCAGCGAGACAAAACCTAAATCGTCATCTTTTTTTGTTTTTTTGTTTTTTCCTTGGCACGACAGCCCCAGTGGGCTTAGGCCTACCTCCATGAACTTCTCCGTTCACTTCGGTTTTTCTAGATCTTACACACTCGGTAGGACTCCTTGGGCGGGTGATAAGCTCGTCGCAAGAGCTCTACCTGTACACAAACACAGAAAAACGCACACACAAACTAAACATCCATGCCCTGAGTAGGATTCGAACCCACGATCCTGGTTTCCAAGCGAGCGAAGACAGTACATGCCTTAGACCGCTCGGCTACCGTGACCGGCTAAAACTTCATCTTTAGGGGGTTTAAAATAGAACACTAAATGGGCATTTATGAACAGTTCTGTCATCTGGGATATAACGCCGTGTATTTCGTTGAAAGTAAACGGACGTTTCGGAGGAACATGTCGCATTCATCTTAAATGTCGAAGAATGAGCCAAACTGAGAGCAAGTGGCAAGCAGAGCTGCTTTCGCGCGCTGGTTCCTTGCTTGATTTATTCTTCGACACTGAAGATGAAGGCGGATATGTTCCTCCGAAACGTCGGGTGACTTTCAACGGGCTATACGGCGTTATATCCCAGACGATGGAACTCTTTGGGAATATTACTAAACATGGAAATGTACACTCGAAGAACGAATCTTTATATGGTCGTGGGCCATATAAATCCAATGGAATTTTCCGCCAATAGTCGGGTACCGTTTAATATAATCCTAACATCTGTGCCACAATCAGCGTGGTTTCTTTTGATACGTGTGATGAATACGAGGAAAACTGTAAACGTTTCCCATTTATGATCCATGGAGGCGATTTTAAGAATTGAATCACTCTCAGAAGTTCAGATAAAGACATGGAGAGAAGGATTTGAAAGACCTAGGCATAGATGTCAAGATAATATTAAAAAGGGGTTATAAGCTATGGAGTGTATATAACTGCCTTATGATAGGATCTGTTGCTTAGCATTTATGAGAACAGCAAAGAACCTTCGAGATGCACAATAGCTGGTGATTTAGTGACCAGCTGAGCAACTGCCGACTGTTGAAGGGACGTCCTGTATCATGGGGATAGATGTAGCAAGTAGGAAATGCGGACCGGCATAAATTGGCATGGGTTGTGAAGAAATTAACTGAATTGGACTGAAGCGGACTTTTGTGGTGGCGGGTATGAACCTGAGGACTGAAGTGACTGTGGCGAGGCCCCCATCCCAAGCCCCACAGACGCTGGAGCAAGGTCCGGCCTTGAACTTGTGCTCGCGCCGTACAGGCTCCTCCGTATGCCAGAATCATAGGGAAC